GGAACTCTGATCCCGTCATTGATCAGATGCTGTGCGTATTGTCTGATAAAATTCAGCAAGAGGTGCAGAGTGCTGTTGAAAATGACAAACGCTCGCGAACCATTGTTATAAGTGGTGTAGCTGAACCTCCGCCGAATTTGCGCGCCAGTGAGCGTGCTCTTGACTTAAACAAAAAGCTGGACGATATTTTTGATGTCCTTAACATTGATTGTTGCGCAACCGAGGCGTATCGTGTGGGTAAGCCAAATCAGAACCGTCCCCGTTTGGTAAAGGTTGTCCTCCCCAGTCGATTTTATTGGAGACTGGCGCTCTCTAATGCCCACCTTCTCCGCTCTTCTGGCTTCTCAAATATCTACATACGTAGAAGTATGACCGAGGAGGAGCGGAGAAAGGAATATGAGCTGCGCCAAGAGGCGAGAGAGCGGAACAGGGATTGTGCAGGACGTGAGTGGGTCGTCTATAAAGGGCGTCTTACTCACATATCTGAACTTCCCCGCAAGTCTTCGGTAAACCAATAAATGAGCATGGTACTATAGATTACTTAACATGTATAACTTAACATCTATTTAACTCCCGCAGTCTAGTTAACAAGATTGATCACCTTCACTCGTTTCTTTGCTTGTACAAACCTGATGTGGTATTCATAACTAAAACCTGGCTTTCTTCAAAGGTTAGTGATTCTGAATTAATCTCTAATTTACCTTATCTGATTCACCGTAGTGATAGGCCAAAGCGTACAGGAGGGGGTGTTTGCTGTATTGTTAAGGGTAATATATCGATCGGTAAAGTGCATCACCACACTGTATCTGACATTGATTTGCTTTCTATCGACCTGCTGTGCCCCTCGGATGCTAGTTATGTGAGGTTCATCGGAATATATCGTCCACCTTGTTGTAAAAGATATGAAGATGATGAGCTCAAGAATGTTTTACTTGATCTCACCTCCTCACAAACTGCAGATATGATTATTTTCGGAGATTTCGACCTTCATGTTAACTGGATTGATTTCATCTCGATAGACCAAAATTCAAAAAACTTGATGGAGTTTTTTCTGGATTGTGGGTTCAAGCAGTATGTGCTCGAACCTACTCATGGTAGCAATATTCTGGATTTGATTTTCTCTACTAAAAACAATGTAAACAAAGTCAAAATACTCCCCCCTCTTGCTTCTTCTGATCACAACATCATTGAATTTCATGTAAAAGCTGGCTACACCGCTAAGACGATATATCCTATCCCTGACTTTCCCAAATTTGATTATCCTGGATTAAACGATTATTTCTATACTTTTGATTGGACTTCTTTGTTTGTAAATCATACCTCCCTTGACGACGCCTATTATAGGTTCTGTACCAAAGTTTACGAAGGACTTGGCAAATTTGGATGTATGCAAACCATCAACAGTCCATCAAATTTTCATTACCCCAAGCACATCGTGCTCTTCTAGATCAAAAGCAAAATTTGTTTAATGTTTCAATGCATCCTTTGACTAATGCCTTATACAAAAAAGTCTGTCTTGATCTTGATTTTCATCTTAAAAAATTTTTGGCCAATTATGAAAGACGGTTGTCTTCTTATGCAAATTCTAGGAGATTTTTCGGATACATACGAAGCAAACTGCAGACCAAAGGCTTTCCCAATGTTGTTGATGAGTTTGGTAAAGAATGTGTCAATGATGTTGATAGAGCAGAGGCTTTGGGGAAGTATTTTGCTAGTGTTTTCGCAAATGGTTATGATGTATGCTGTCCGCTGAATTACACCTCTCCTCAGCAGACTTGTGATAATGTCTACTTCCATGAATCTGATGTTCGCATTGCTTTGAAACTTTTGCATCTTTCTTGTACTGAGCCCTACGATGGTATACCGCCTATAGTCTATAAAAAATGTGCGGATGTACTTTCCAAACCCCTTTCGGACTTGTTCAATCTCTCCATGTATTTCGGGGAAGTGCCAATTATATGGAAAAAATCAGTGGTTGTGCCTATCCCAAAAATTAGTACTGCCGTTAAAGTGTCTGATTTTCGTCCTATAAGTCTAACTTCAACTCCAGTCAAAGTGATGGAAAAAATTATAAGGAAAAAGCTGCTTTCTTGGATCAAGAAATGTTATGGAATTCCACCTCAATTACATGGCTTCGTTTCTAAAAGATCTACTACTACTAATCTTGTTAAAAGCGTTTTTGACTGGAGAAAAGCTCTTAACACTGGAAAATCAGTTGATATAATATATGTTGATCTTTCAAAGGCCTTTGAGAAGATTCCTCATAATGTCTTGATAATGAAACTCCAGAAGTTTGGCATTTCTGGCAATCTTCTGAACTGGTTTCGCTCTTACCTTCAAGACCGATATATGACCGTCAAAGTTGGACAGTCGTTTTCCAATGAGTACCGTTGCACTAGTGGAGTTCCTCAAGGAGGTGTGCTTTCTCCGCTTCTCTTTTTGATTTTCACCTTTGAACTACCCGCTCTAATTGACTTGAACGGAGTTGATGTTCAGATCTATGCGGACGATATCAAACTGTATGCATCTTACAATGAATATGATTTCCTTGATGTGCATACATCGATGCAACAAGCCCTAAATAAACTAAATACGTGGGCTTCTTCTAATGGCCTTTCTGTCAATCCGAACAAATGCTCATTTTTGCATCTGGGCAAAATTAATCCAGACAAATATGAAATCAATGGAATAGATTTGGTAGCTTGCCCACTGGTCAAAGACTTAGGTGTCTTTGTTGATCCTCAATTAAATTTTTCCAAACATATTGATTCTGCCGTCAAAAAAGCATATTCTATTCTTTTTTCAATCTTTCGTGTTATTCACTCCTCTAATCCAGTTGTTTTGACCAGACTATATAAGGCTTATGTGCTACCACATCTTGAATATTGTTCTCAAGTATGGAACCCCTCCACAAAGAAAGATATCGTTAAGATTGAAAGAGTTCAACATGTTTTTACACGGATGGTCTTTTTTCGCATGTCTCATAATATGCAAGATAGGTCCAAACCAGATTACAATGAGCGCTTGAGACTCTTTGGTTTGCAATCACTGAAACGTAGAAGAATTATTGCTGACTTAGTTTTTTGTTTTGCGATACTGCGGAAAGAGATTGACCTTCCTGCCAGCAGCTTTTGGGTCTTCAGACCTTTAAGTTGCAGGGTAGGAGGCTTCAATCTTCACTGCCCTAGACTGGATAAACACTGCTATTCTGGCCTTTTCAATTTTTTATTCTATCGATGTGCTCGCTGGTTTAGACGACTGCCCGCTAAGTTGCAGTCGGCTAATACTAGTCGGGCTTTCAAGAAAGCTCTAGAAAAGTCAGAAATTCCCAAATCTGTTGAGAGTGATTCGTACTTGTGCTGATGTTTTCGTTCTCTTTTGTAAGTATTTGATTCAGGTAGAAGCCATAGCCATAGCCTGTCTGAATTAAGAAGTCTACGATGTGGTTTTTTTTATATAGCCTTTTTTTATAACCTTTGTCTTTTCTCTGTTTTGAGTTCGTTCTAATGCTTCTTTTTCAGATCTGGCTCATGAGCGCTTTCTTGTCTGGTGACTATTTTGTGCTGTATGAATTATGGCTGATATTTTATGCCCCCTCTACCGTCTGGACTGCAACTGAAACTCTATTTCTTTATGCGGCATCAACTGTATCAGCATCAACATCAACATTCTCATACGTGCGATGGTAGTCCGACATCTGTTTTGCCATATTCGAGCGAACACGGCCACTGAGATTCGTCTTTCTACATATACTATTTCTTTCTGCATTTCTCAGGCTTTGGCCATACTTTGCCTGTGTTGCCCATGTTGCCTGTGTTCTCTTGTTGCCGGTGTTGCTGATGTTGCCTTTGTTGCTCGTGTTGCCGGTGTTGCCATGTTGCCGGTGTTGCTCATGTTGCCGATGTTGCCGGCGTTGCTCGTGTGGCCGGTGTTGCCGATGTTGCCGGTGTTGCTCGTGTTGCTCATGTTCCCAGTGTTACCGCTCAAAGGCGGTGGCGCTGGGGGCATGGGTGGCGCGGGTGACACTGGTGACGTCGGCGGCGCCGGCGGCGCGGGTGGCACTGGTGGCGTCGGCGGCGCCGGTGACGTGGGTGGCACTGGCGGTGTCGACAACACCGGCAGGGTATGGCCAAGGCCTTATAACCCATATCAAGCCATCATGTTAGTGCAGGCCTGAACAACAATCTTCCTTTTCCCAACCTTTAATGCTTGCTGACTTGCTCTAGTTGAGTTATTAACGCGGAATTTTGTTGATTTTCTCTCGGAGCATTGGTCTCTCCCCGGAATTCTTTTGGGCAAGGTTTTTCTGCTACTCTACTGACCAAGCCCGCTTTGCTTACTTTGGTATTTCGAGAGCACTTTGCTAGCGTACGAGTATGAAGGATCACCACCTCCACAACTTGCAACAACCTATTGATCTTCTCGATTACAATGTTCCATTACTACACTTCTTATTAATCAAGTATTCTCGAGTAACTGACTCTTCCTAAGCCTTATGCGGTGGGAGTATATCCACCATGCATCCTGAGTTAGATAGTTTATCTCAGGGACGTTTTGCTGGCAGTAATGGGGGCATGGGTACCATCTCCATGATCACATCTTTATGACAATTGTTGTCCAGAGCAGTCACATGCAAGCTCTATCAAATATACTTCTTAACCAATTTAAAGGTATGGACTCAACGGCACGGTGGACCTTGACTGGGGTTGTTCGATTTACTGTGTGTGTATTTTTTTTCTCTTGTTCTTTTTGTAAGGAACGCCATAGAGCGTATGAATAAATAAATAAATAAATAAATAATAGTCAGGCTGAGAACGAGAAAATGTTTTATTCAATTTAATACATAAGAGAATGTCAGGCCAGTTCTATACCACATCGACTTTTGGGACAACCGGGGGACAAGTAAGAACTTGCCCTGTACAGACAAAAAATGGAAATCACATTCCCTTACCTGTACCAAAGATAGACACACACTGCGAAATTTATTACAACAGACATCACAGGCAGTTCTGTCCCTTTTTCAACATAATACACCTGACTCAGCTACATGATTCAAGAAGTCTTTGCGAAGCGTGCGAGCCAGTACTTCTATTGGATTGTTCTCCAAATCTTCAGGGCTCACAATGGCCTCCCGCACCTTCCGAATGTTCCATCCTAAGCGCACTCCCTGTAATTATCATGACATTTCAATATAACGATAAGGAAGTGAAGATGTTGTCGCTATACATATGAATTAGCACATGGGAACAAGCCTGAGGATTAAGGATACTCACAAAAAAGCATGCAAAAAACTTGCAAAAACCGTCTCGATTTTTCTAGTCTCTAGTTCATCGGATGGAGCATTATTGTACTGATGGAAGTGTAATAAGCAGCAGTGACGCATCGAGGGGATTGCGAAGCAAGGGGAGAAGACGACGCTTTCTCCAAAAATGAATTGCAAAATCTTCGAATGACCCACAACACATGAAACTGCTCGGACGAATTGTTTCACTCGTGATTTAGGAACTATAGTTGGAATATCTAAAAGTTCGAGTTAGACTTGCACAAGAAGTTCTTCGTCACCTACAACTTGAGGGCTGCCTCGTTTTCTTGGAACGTGATTATGGGTGGTAAGGGCCGCATGCCTTAACATCACTGCTGGGGAGGGGATCGCAGCTCAGAAAGAAAGCTTCGTAGCCTAAAGCTCCAGATATCTGGATTTCACGCTGTACGTCTATTCGTAACCTACCTTCCTTCACTATGAACATATTTAACAGGAGCTAGAAGCTATAAATGCCGCTTTTGTATGATCCCCTGATGATCCGCGGCGACCGACCGTCTTTTCTTTAAAGTCACTTTCCTTTCTTCGAAGTCAAGAAAAATCTTCCAAAATTGTACTGTGCAACTAACACAACAGTGCTAAACATGTTGCTGGTAAGAACAGATGAGTTTAAAAAAAAATCGAATTTTTCGATAAACGCCAACATTCGAGCATCCTGTTAATATGTTCCTAGTGAAGGACGAATACTTACGGATGGGTAGACAGCGTGACATGCAGAAGTTCGAGGCTTCAGGGTGTGAAGCTTTCTTTGTAAGCTGCGATCCCCTCCCCGGCGGGGATAATGCATGTGGCCCTAAATTTCGAAAAGCACCCCGTGGGGCTAAAGCCACGCCGTTCATTCAAAATTTGTCTCGCCCTTCTATAAAAAAAATTCGGACAGCTACTGGCAAATAAGGAAAACCCATGTGTAACTTCCAAAGTTTTTTTGCCTCACAGCAACATTCATAACATTGTTTGTGAAGGGTAGACTGTGCAACAGGCGGCTGAGCAATGTATGGCGCAGATTGCACAGTCATACTGATAATCCCATAATTCTCTTTTATGCCGATGAGAAATAGCCCATATCACTGTGTCGGTGCAAGCGGGTTGGGCCTGATTGCGCGGCGTAAGCCGCGTACGCTCCTATGATGAAAGATACCGAGCACTCAGATAATCGCCGGGGGCAGGCGGTCCGCAAACTCACGCTTTTCTGCAAGCGGTCAACAGAATTTTTGGAACGTGGCCAAACCTTCAGCGGGCGGCACTTCCTTTACGGTCGTATATTCTGCCAGCGCGCAGCAATACAGCATTTTTTGCAAGCGATCCGTATATAATTCTTTCAGCGAGCGCTGGCCAAACATTCAGCAAGCGCTGGGACTCTTTTAACGCAGTTTCGGGCATACGCCGAGTAAAGTTGAGACTCTATGTGGCAGAGGTGTCACCGATGGTTTAATTACTCAAGTTTGAGGTACCTTCTTCCAGCGGAAGGTACCTACGGGCCGTGCGGTCCTTCGCAAAGAACAGTGCGACCCTCAATATTTTTGCATATTCTCGCGGAAAGTGCGCGAGAATGCGGCCACTGGGTCCAACTTATCCATAGAAAGACCGCGCTAGTTCTCCGAGCGTTTGTCTAAAAATTGGCCAAAATCATTCCAAATTTCTGCAAGCGGACCGCAAGAAATCAGCGATTTGTTTTTCCGTTGCCCGCTCGCTCAAAAGCATGACCGCCTGCCCCCAGCGATTATCTGAGCAGACTCTGTCACGTACGGACGTACGCCGCGCACTCTGTCTCAACCCAGCGTTGGCAACATGCCGAATGTAAAAGTTGACCGTCAACTGCGTGAGTCCATTTTCGAATAAGATGTTGGTTATACCTCGAAGGATATTGGAAGCACTGTTACGATTGTTCAGATCCTTCTTAATCGCACTTTGTGCAGAGAAGAAGGACGATTTGCTTCAACTTGCAAAATCTATGCACACGAAGTGCACTTCCAGAAGAAGGCGCGATAGCAACATCGGTCAGTGGACGCAAAGCGTTTCTTTATACTACGCTGCAAGATGCGTCAGCGCGCGGCCCACGCCCAGTACGCAGTAACCTGCCGCATCCTGCGGCGCGCGCCGCTGCAGTCGCAACGAAACATGCCCAGGCCATCGAAAAACCAAGCTCTATGTTGCTCATGCAAAGAATAGTTTCCATTATCACGAAAGAAAAGGTAAAATTTAAAAAAACCGTCAAACCGCAATGCCATTGGCATAGTTCCCTGCGACTGCAGCGGCGTACTCCGATGCGGCAGATCCTGCGTCCTGCGGCGTGTGAAGGGGGAGAGGTCGAATGACGCGTATTGATCGATTGTCCTAATCCGAAAAACCAGGAAAAAAGTTCGGAATTAGTTTAGTACTTCCGATATCCAACTAGTAATCCATGTTACTCTTTCTGATATGATGACAAAACTTAGGAGTTTGGAAACCTCGCTTTTGTAGAGTACAAATCCCTTCTGGCAATAACGATTGCTAAACGCGCGCCTTTCGACAACATCCGTATAAAGAAACCCAAACGGGCACGAGCGTGTCCAATCGTTGTGCCTGCGCCACATACAGGGCTTATCAAACGCAGTGTCGTTTGCATCAGCCTCTCCACTCCAGCGCTGGACTCTGCATCTCTTCCGTGATTATGCTCTCTGATTACTTTCCCAGGGCGAGCGTGGGAAAGGTGGAGCCTCAATCGATTGGAAGTGATTAGAGAGCATGGTCGCGGAAGAAACGCAGAGTCTAGCGCGGTAGTGGAGATGCTGGTGCAAGCGACACTGCGTTTGATAAGCCCTGTACGTCTTGCGACAATATCATTCACGTACGTAGGTTCTGCGCCTTCGTCTGGCAGCACGCCTTATGCATTTCAATCCATAGATTGGTAGACGCCTATATGTCGTCAAAAGGGGAGATTCCTCGCGGACATCTGCAACATTCACGCAGTATATAAAGTGCGATTCGCTACAAAGGTTCGCGCGGGACCTCTGACACATACCCTAATTTCCAGGGTATAAGGCGCACCTTGTATAAGGCGCACTCGCCGCAGCGAACAATGGCGCGAAGATGCTTTCTAAATTTGAGTGAATGATTGTTGAATGTTGAATGTTTGAATGAATTGAATGTTTCTAAATGATTGTTCTCTAAATATAAAAAGCTGAAAAGGAAAAAAACACTGTGCTGTGACTATTCTTCACTGCCCTTAAATCATGCCTTCAGGTAATTATTTCCTCCACTCAGAATGTGTATTTTGATGTCGTTTCTACATCGTGGGAGGAAGGTGCTCTCAATGGTGTTTATGGTGTTTAGATGATTCTTTTTTGCTTCCAATGATGTTACCGGTGCTACATTGGTGCTTTCTTCGTCTGCAGTAATGCTGTTGGTACTGAAGCTGTGCTATCCTTTACAATGATAATGCTGATATTTTGAAGGTTTTTGTTCAATTCTTTTCATTCTTGAAGAATCAAATAGAAGGTAGAGATTTGTCTTGAAACAAATCACTGCTGAGAGGAAAACAGCAAAGAACTGGAGCAAAAAACTACTGCTGGGTGAAAGAGGTTGCTGTTGGCTGCTTGTGCGGCGTAGCGCATCGCGAACATCATCGTTCATCTGTTCGCGCGCGGTGAAAGCTACTGCGCCTTATACCCCGGAAATTAGGGTAGTCCATCTCATAGAGAGTAACAAATCTTTGATTATCGCAGGCATTGACCAAGATTCTTGAAACTACAACTAGAAGCTCACATTACAAGTATAACAGTTTGCGATCACGTTGCTCTTAGGAAAGAAGAAACCTAAAGTTTTGGTGGCAGTTTTTGGAAACCGGGTTTGCGCAGTAGTTTCGAATTGATACCCTCAAATCTGCCCGGACGTTGCCTTTAGCCCCGTCACATTGTGCGATTTGACGTCTTGGCAACGTATTATTATGGAGAGAAAGTAAAACTGCTTTTGGTTTAGATATTCAGACTTCTAAACTCTTATTAACTATCTGAAGCTCACCTTGAAAAGCATGACCAGCGCAATGATGCCCATAATTCCGGCAGCCTTCTCAATCAACTGTGACGAAGGCTCACCAAGTTCTTTCACAGGAAACATTAAGCAGGTGGGCGATTCTGAAAATGCACAGATATACCGAAATCGCAATATATATTAAATAATGAATCATAGACTGAGAATCAGATCGTGAATCAAATGTTCTGTCTTAGCAATTACGGCGGCAGAATGTTACCAAAACAGTAAACGAGTTATCATTCGATAGAGTATTCTGAATTCGCAGAAAGCTTATTCCTAGTCTGAAGGTTAAATCTTAAGCCCTTCATCTATTCTAAAAATCTTATCTTCGTCCTAAAAAAATCTTAAGAAGGTTGAGCCTTTTGGATCTTGTGGATTGAACGCGCGTCGGCGCGAGGAAACCTGAAAGTTGTAGATGAACAGTGTTGCGGGAGTGGAGCTGGTGAGTGCACCGATCCACCGGACTGGGCTTCCAGCGGCCGACTCTGTGGAGGAACCCAGAACCTCTCGTTCGGAATAAGCCTCCTGTACATCAGCAGCACAGGATGCGCGGCTCGTCTTGTGTCAGTAGGTAGGTCATCCTCTTTAGAGACTTTATAATTTCTTGTACATATGTTTTATATTTGTTGTTTCATGCTGTTGTTTTATATAAACTTAATCTAGTTATATTCGTGTGTTTTGTATGGGTTGGAGAGTTGGATGACCGCGTCAAGTGGACGCGTTGATGAGGCCTCTCGATTACGTCCTAGGGTGTAGGATTGTAATGTATGGCGGTCGAGCACACGGCTACGGGTGCTGGGTCCACCGAGCCGCAACAATATGTCTCAGTGCGCTCTTCCATTCTTTCTTCGTTCTGTTCAGGCCTATGATCGGCTCCCAGATTCGTGTGGAGGCGGATTGCAGATTTCCCTGATTTTGAGGGTGAGCTTCACGAGGGAGTACAAAATACAATGCTATAACGTGAGATTCAACAAGTTTATCCTGAAAAAGTCCGCAGCTCGCCTCCACACGAATCTGGGAGCCGAAGATACTTCCACGTGTTCCAGGAAGCCGCTGCATAGTTTCCAATTTGTATTGAAAAGCGAAAAGTCAGCTTTCTAGAACACCTGAAGTACGTTGGAACAAAAATAACGAATAGAGAATGGACGAAAACCATAAAGTCCTATCCTATTTTCCTTGTTAAAGAGCAAACGGTTCATTCACCAACTACGCTTCAAGATGTTCTTCTCAGCAATAGGGGAAGCGTTGTAGAAGAATGAGGCTGAGACGAGCGAAGTTTGAGAGAAAAACCGCTGGAAATCTTATATATAAAGCTGAATGTCTGTTTGTCTGTATGTCTGTCTGTACATATGTTCCAAATAGAAAATTCCATTTCTGAACCGATCCTGACCAAACTTGGCACACATCACTTCGGGGCCGGGCGGGTGTCATAGGCTACTCTTCGTCATCGATCGATATTGCTTTTACCGATTTTTATCGATTTTTTTGCAGAGTTTTTGAGCTTCAGGGCTGGGAGTTGGCACAGGAGGGTAATCAGCATGCTGATTACGAGTGCAGTATTGGTTGCGCTAATCGGCTATCCGTTGTCGTAGAGCTTGCTCATACTTCGTCTATAAGGGTTATTTTACATGTAGATTGTAGATATCACACTTTCTCCGCAGAACGTCTCCCGTGTGGTTACGACAGGTGTACGGTAGGAAGTCAAAATCATGATTTGGCTGAAATTTGGTCCAGAAGGCTTATTCGACATGCTGATTACGAGTATCATACTCTTTCTGCATATTGGAACCTTTTCATAGAGTTATGGTGGTTATACGGTACGGGATGGATAACATAGATTTGCTCTAAACTTCGTCTAGGGTCGTCATTTGCCGCGCTGAATATGAATATCATGTTGATTTCGCAGTATAGTGCATCTTCTTGGGTTACGGTGGGTGTAGATGAATCGAAGTTCCAGATTTGCTCAAAGCCTTACCGGTAACGGTTAACAAGTATACTGTTATGAATATGATGCTTACTCGCTGTCATAACGCATTATTGAAGTTGTGGTGAGTTGCAGGGTTTGAATGGACATTTTTTCGCTTTCGGGCCAATTTAGAATCCCAGATATTCATGAAATGAGGAAACGGTCGTTTTGCAGGGCGGTCTCCAGCGCCGTCCTAATAACCTGTCCCAAGGCGTAACGCACGCGGTAATCCCCCCCCCTCCCTCTCCCCTTGTTCTTTGCTTGGCAGGGAATGATACTTGGTGACCCCGGTCATTCATAATGTTTTGTATATCAAAGAATGCGCCTTTCAATGCTGGTTTGAAGACTGTTTTCCATATCTGCGAAACGAGAACCTGCATGGAGTTATGATTATTTTTTTAAGAATGGATAGCCTTACTGCCGAGGGTAAAAATCATTAACAAAAAATTTTCTTTCCTCTTCAAATGCTGAATATGATTTAGATAGGTACAAATACAACGTACACCTTTCAAGATTATCCCCATTAGCTCCAAACCGTAAATTAGACAAGATTGGGTGATTTTAACTACCTAAAAGCACGTAAATTTTCCACGAAAAAAGGTTCATAACGTCCTTCATATGATCGTTTCGCAGATTTCGAGCACAGATTTAGAATCAGCATTTCGAGTTGCACCTTTTGGTATACATCATATGCAGTGTCGGTTGGACGGTCCAGACCGCAGGTTCCACTGGCTTAGCGAGACAACTAGTGAAAATATAATGTATCTTATATACAAAGCTGAATGTCTGTTTGTCTGTATGTATGTCTGTACGTATGTCTGTATGTGTGTACGTATGCTCCAAATAGAAAATTCCATTTTTGAACCGATCTGGACCAAACGTGGCACACATACACTTCGGGCCCCGGCGGGTGTCATAGGCTACTTTTCGTTATCGATAATCGATTTTATCGATTTTTTGCAAAATTTGAGCTACGGGGCTGGGAGTTGGCACAGGGGGTAATCGAGCATGCTGATTACAAATATGTTATTGACAGAGCCGGGCGGAGCCGGATTTGCCAACTAGTCAAAAAATATGACAAACCACAAGAAGAAGCTGATATGCACATAGAATAAGAGTAGCTAAATGATGAGATATAGAAGAGCTAATACAGAACAATGAATATTGATGAGGACCTGTATGGGCACTGTTGAGGAACAAACTACACATCTTAGAACCGACACACGAAATATGGTGATTCGTACATCCTATAGGTTTGGTTCAAGGCTAATAGTGTGACAAAAACTTAGACCGGGCGCCTGTGTGCTACACGTCCCCCCTTATCGTAAGTGGCGTCCCGACACTTAACAAACCTTGTTCTATTTTGGTTTCTTCTTCCTTGTTGTTCTTCCTTGTGGTCGTTGTCCAAACGGTCCTTGCCCATGTGGTCCTTGTCCATGCGTCCTCGTCCATGTGATCCTTGTCCATGCGGTCCTCATTTGGTCCTTGTCCATGCGATCCTTGTCCATTCGATCCTTGTCCAAGCGATCTTCTTCCAGAGTTCTGGCACCGCAACAAGTGTCCACTCCTTTCTGTTCGATTCCATTGTGTCCTTCCACTTGTACGACTAGTTCGGCAGGGATGTGCTCTGGCATAGTCGACTAATTCAAGAAAATTCAAAATGCGCGAGAGTATTCAGTACATCTGTACATTTTTTATACCGCTTCGCATTAGTACTCTTAAGTTTTTTCACAACATTCTTGTTCGCTGATGTTCTGGAATCGGCTTCATCTTGCTGTTCCACGCCTATCCGTTTGACATCGACTGATCTATCTTCGGCTGTGTTTCTTTTTCAGCTTGTGCATCTTCACAGGTTTCGTCCATTGCTTTATATCGGTCGATGGTTCGTCCAAGATTCCGTTTTGATTCTTGGAATCGTGCTTCATCTTTCTGCGTTTTGTTTCTTCTTTTCTTTCTTGACCTTTCAAAAGCTTCCTTCCTATTTTTGCATCATCTTGCTTCCTCCAGGTAGTATACCCGTCCGGTAGTTTACTACATTCAAGGGATCTTTGACTGAGTCCCTGAGCAAATCGCTATTGGTATCACTTCGCATCACTCTGACACCAAAATTGCATAGAACATTTGTCCCTAAGATCAGCTCATTTTCTAAAAATCTGGTGACATATACCGGAATCTTCTTGGACATGTCAAACAATTCCGTAGACATCTTAACTGCTTCCAAGATTTCTATTCTGTTGGAGGCGTCGCGTATCGCAGCATTAGATACTAGTTCTGGAATTCTCTCCACATACGCATTTAGATCACCTCCAGCTTCTTTGGCCCTCGTGAACAGCTTCAGTGATGCTACAGATACCTCGGAGCTAGTGTCTATGAGTGCGTTTACTTCCATATTCATTACCATTGCCGGCACAGCTACCTTCTTACCGAATTCTTCAGCTCTTCCTGGCACCTGTTGTTGTTCATAACCAGCTATCAAGAGCAGTGGAGAACGAAGATGCCTTGTGTCGTTCAATTCTTCTTACGTTGTTCTTTGTGGCATTCTGCAGTGTGCACTGTTTCGCTTTATGCCCTGATTTGCCACTTTTGAAGCAATGATTGCTTTTCTCCTTGTCTTTCACGGTCAATCTTTCTTTTCTTTCACCGTGATCAGCGGCCGATTCCGAATCAGACCACTGTTTTGCTGAAGCTTGATTGCCATAAAGCCTTTCATGCATATCACTGTCCCACTTGACTTCCTTTCTATGCAGGTTTCTTTCTAGCCTCAGCGCTGCTTCTTTCACTTTGTCATAAACGACATCTCGCTGGCTAGTCTTAATTGCCTCTGCTAAAACATAGCTTCCTTCCCAATTAGCTAAGTGGGAATACAGAATTTCTGCTTTCTGAAGTGGCACCCCTTCCATTTCTCCATTAGGGTAGGCTTGACTGCATGTCGTCTCCAGTACAAAGCAGAAATCACTTACTGTTTAGTTTCTTTTCTTTCTCAGATTCCTCAGTGTAGCCAGGGCTTTTACACGAGAAGTGTTGCCTTCTTCAGCTAACCTTTCGCTCATCGCCTGGACTACGCCGTCGAAGGGACCTTCTTTTACACTTTGCGGTAGTGTCTCAAATAGATTTACAGCTTTCCTTCTCAGAAAA